TCTTTCTGGCTCTATAAAAGCTTCCACCTATGACCTATAAGAGGAAGACCAAGACCATCTCAAAATTGACAACAGAAATCAAAAGAACAGACATATATACGGTTGCGCCTCCTGAAATATTATCCCGTGCACCAAGGCAATAATGTGTAACATTTAAGATAAGAGGCATTAGCAACGGCAATGGAGCGAGACGAGGCAAATCATAAACAGGATAGGACACGAGCGCTCTTATTCTGGGCAAGGCGTGTTAGGACATTCTTTTGAAAATCAGAAGCGACGCAAGACAGATGCAAATCAACAAGAATTAACAAGTTTGTTTACCCTAAAAATCGGATAACAATTAAATTTATAATGTAGTTTTAAGGATATGTGATTTCACCCAATACTAATTGATAAGTAAGAAAATAAGGGGTAGGATTGAACTGTAAATAATCCAAACCAGTAGGCAAATAATCTTCAGCCTTGAATTAAGGTACCTTCGAGGTGATAACAGTATGAGAACAGTAAAGATTGGAAAATTAATGAACAAAAATACGGGTCAGAAAAGAAGAGCTATATTGCTTATGTTTCAGGGAATGATCCCCCTACAAATGATTGGAACTCCTCTTTATATAGTAGAGGAAACCTAATTATAGTACGTCTCTAATTACAGAAGGAAATCGTATAAACAGCTAATTAACCGCTTCTGATTTGGTCAGCTCTGAGATTCACGCCATGATCCTCGACCAATCACGGATATCTCGCTCTTTCCGTTACTAAGCTATCCCCGATGTTACTCGAAGTCTATCTCCCCTGGCATCGGTTGAATGATATCAACCTCGATCTCGAAAGAGACTTCGATCTCGAACTCGATGCCTTAGCTCTTCGACGCAAAGTCCTTGTTTCGATCAAATAGTGAAATCGGGTAGCCCCGATTTCTACCGTATATAGATAGTGCCCTCGTGTTTTGGAGTATAACGACAAGAAAAGAATTGAGTCCTCGATCTTTACCCCGATTTGCCATGACACCATCACCAAGACGTAAGTGACAGAGGAAACAAAAGCTCAGAAGGCCTTTCCCGAGGGAGACTCCGAGAAACTCTAGCGAGTCTAGCGGTGGAGAAGATTCTGAGGGTGAAGACACTTCTACCGATAAGGATCTTGCTGCTTAGGCTTCGTGCTGTTCGTAATTTTTTGCTATTATTTTGAGGTTGATCGGCCCTTGTAAAGAATTCTTGATCGGGACCTATAGCCCTTGTAAAAAGGTTTTTACAAATATATAAAGCTTTTTCCCTTCCATGACTTCTGAATCCGTTACCCTTTTGTGCGGGTTAAAGCGCCTTAGCAAAAAATTGCTTTTGAAGATCCAGAGCTCGGGATGGTAATGACCGACAATAAGTACTGCCCTCGGATGTTTCTGATCAATGGACCACGAATGACCATTTGAACATGAGTTTAAGTAGCTCTTAGGCTCAATAGTCGATTTGCTCGATCTTGAGGTAAGGTAGCCCTTGGGCTTGATGGTTGAGTGAGTACATGCTCGAACTCGAGATAAGGTGTCCCTTGGGCTCGAAAGATAGTCCCTGAGTGAGAAACACGGGTAGACCTTGGGCTTAGTAGTTGAGTGAGTACTTGCTCGAACTCGAAATGAAAATAGCCCTTAGGCTTTATGATCGAGCGAGGACATGCTTGAACTCGAGATAAGATGGCCCTTGGGCTCGAAAGATAGTCCCCGAGTGAGAATTTTTTCGAACTCGGTTAGCCCTTGGGATTAGTAGTCCGGTGAGGATTTGCTCGAACTCGAAGTAAAGTTAGCACTTAGGCTTTATAGATAGTCCCTGAGTGAGAGTTTGCTCGAACTCGGGTTAAGATAGCCCTTGGGCTTTTATGATCAAGTGAGGACTTGCTCGAACTCGAAGTGAAGTTAGCCCTTAGGCTTTATAGTCGAGTGAGGATTTGCTCGAACTCGAAATAAAGTTATCCCTTAGGCTTTATAGATATTCCCCGAGTGAGAGTTTGTTCGAACTTGGGTTAAGATAGCCCTTGAGCTTTATGATCGAGTGAGGGCTTGCTCGAACTCGAAGTAGAAGTAGCCCTTAGGCCTTTGCATTTATTACGGATTTCGGACGTCTCCGATCCGCGTTAATTTGGTCGTAGCCTCTTTAGTTCGGAACTTTCCCTTTGGGTTTATTTCTGCTTCACTTCGAGCTTGTCCGAAGTGTCAGTCCCCGAGTGGGGTGGCCGTGGCCTGTAAAATCGAGGGTTTCCTTTAAGGTCTTACGGTCTCGAAATTTTAGTAGTTCGATTTCGTTGGTTTCTCAGACGGCAGTCCTCAAGCGTGGGGTTAGTTGTTTGAACTTCCATCATGATCGGCCCTTAAGCCTATTTACGCAACAGATCGAGAGTATGAAATAGGAAATTTTTCTAAAGGCATGAGATATCGGCAAGAAAAAATACTTCTCTCGATAGATGATTATACATGCGCGCATGTTTGACGTTAGGGCTCGAGTAACATATATGGGCACGGTTCATCTGACCGTTTGACCCTTACAGCATTTTCCTGTCGAGACTCCACTGTCATGAAGTAATTTCCTTGCAATAAAGTAGACATTCGAGGGTAATGCTCCCCAGTACTCGGGGCTTATTGTAGGGGACCTCGAATACTGTTGAATTGCTCTAAATTGGCACGAACAATGGTTGCCTCATTAAAAACGTTGCCAAAGAATACCCACTTGGGACAAAAACCGGTCTAAGGGAAAAAGAGCGTAACGCGTGCTTTAAGATCCAAAGCTTTGTGTCGATCCTTGCAGATAGCCTGCAAGTGTTGGTCGAAAAAATAGAAAGAATTGGAATTTGGTCGTACCTTTATTCGGATTTTGGATATTTGACGTGATCTTCCTTGTCATCAAGCCCCCGTAAATTTTGACCTCGATCATTTCTCCTCTCATTTCGCGCGAAGCTTCGCCTAGACCCGGTGCCTCTTCGATCTCCGTTGTACGGTTGATATCGATCTCTATTCGACCTCGGCTCTCGATCGATGTCCCTTTTGATCCTATCCATGGGCTTGCTAGGGTAAGCGGACCCCGAAGGAGTCCCAAGTTGATCGTCCTCGATCTCGATCTTCGACTGATATCGATTATGTACGTCGGCCCAAGTGACAGCCGGGTACTCGATTAAACTTTGCTTCAACTGTTGTGAAGCTATGGAAGTCCGATTGTTGAGACCTTGGGTGAAAGCTTGAACAGCCCAGTCACTGGTGACCGGAGGCAAATCCATTCTCTCCGCTTGGAACCGAGATACGATTCCCTGAGCACCTCGTTATTTTTTGCCTTACCTTGAAAAGGTTCGACTTCCTCGTTGCAATTTTAATGGCTCCGGCATATGCCTTTACAAAAGAATCTGCAAGCATAGCAAACGAATCAATAGAACTAGAGGGTAAGTTATGATACCATATTAAGGCACCCTTCAATAGAGTCTCCCCGAACTCTTTCAATAGTACGGATTCAATTTCGTCATCTTCCAAGTCATTTCCTTTGATGGCGCATGTATACGAGGTAACGTGATCATTCGGATCGGTCGTGCCGTTATACTTGGGGATCTCGGGCATACGGAACTTCTTGGGGATTGGCTTCGGAGCCGCACCAGGGGGGAAGGGTCTCACGAACTTTTTAGGATCTAGTCCTTCCAATATCGGTGGTGCCCCCGAAATTTGATCAACTCGGAAGATGTGTTCTTCTACCCTTTTGTCGTTTTCCTCAGTTTTCTTCTCTCCCGATTCGATTCGTTTGGTGAGCTCCTCGAGCATCTTCATTATTGTGGGGTCAGTCCCTGATTTACTAGTATTCGACCTTTCTGGTACTGGCTCGGCCCGGCGGGCGGCCTTCGGTTCAACCCTGCTGAGCATTCGATGCTGATTTTGTAGCTGTGCAATAGCGGCTTGTTGAGCCCGTAGCATCTCGAATACCATTTGGAGGCTGACTCCTCCATCTCTTCCGCCTTGTGAACCTCGACCACCAGATCGGCCTTCTGTGCATATACTCCCTTTGGGGTCCGTGCCCAGGTTCGCGTTTAGAGCAATGTGTGAACTTACATCGACTGGGTTGCCCTCGAGATCAGCTTGTGGCACCTCGACCCCTGGAGCGATTACATTGTCGTTTTCTCCGCAGAATCCGAGGCCATTATCACCATGTGTGGGTGCTGTTTGCGAGTTTTACATATTTTATCCTGAAAACAAAAATACTTAACAAGAACAAGTGTAAAATACTGTGTGTCATCGGAATCGGTATTGAATAGTCACTATTATCCTTAGCCCCACGGTGGGTGCCAAACTGTTTACCCTAAAAATCGGATAACAATTAAATTTATAATATGGTTTTAAGGATTTGTCATTTCACCCATTACCAATTGATTAGAAAGAAAATAAGAGGTAGAATTGAATTGTAAATAATCCAAACCAGTATGCAAAAAGCTTCAGCCTTGAATTAAGATACCCTCAAGGTGATAACAGTAAAGATTGGATAAATTGATGAACAAAAATACGGGTCAGAAAAGAAGAGCTATATTGCTTATATTTCAGTGAATGATCCCCCTACAAATGATTGGAACTCCTCTTTATATAGTAGAGGAAACCTAATTATAGTGTATCACTAATTACAGAAGGAAATCGTATAAACAACTGATTAACCGCTTCTGATTTGGTCCGTTTCGAAATTCACGCCATGATCCGTCACATATATCTCGCTCTTTCCGTTACTAAGCTATCCCCGATGTTACTCGAAGTCTATCTCCCCTAGCTTCGATTGAATGATATCAACTTCGATCTCGAACTCGATGCCTTAGCTCTTCGACAAAGTCCTTATTTCAATCAAATAGTGTATACAAAGTTTTATTATTTAAATTCAGTCGTGTTTAGCTAAATGACTGTGGAAGATAAGAACACAAGTAAAAGAAAACTTCAACGAGACAAGGTAGGCCTATGCAGCATAAGCGGATAAAATAGAAAAATTGCTAGTGAAAAGGTAAGACGGGCACAAAGATGGTTTATCCAACAGTAGGAAATAACATCATAAACATAACAGTATTTGTCAAGTCCGCTTATATCATCCAAACCAAGACCTTTCGGTTCCATAGCTTTCCTCAATCAAAGCTTATACATGTCGAAGATTACAAACTTACATAAACTATCATGGCCACCATCCCTCTCTGAGGTGAAAAGGGGGAAAAAGGGAAGAAAAGTAAAGTATAAAAGCACACGTCAGTTCTTCCGACATGTAAACTACAATTAGGTAAAATTAGAATCCCGTAAGTTCCATAATCCTATTTAGCTGTTCCATTCTGTTCCTCTCCCGCAGTTAGCAGTAACTTTGGACTTATAATTACGCCAAAATTACATAATCAGACTAAAATGAAAGATCTCAAAGTTGGGCGGGTGTACCATTGATCACCCAGCAGCCACTGCATCAGTTCTGGGGCTGGAATCGAGTAGTTGATGAAGCTTTGCTCCAGAACTATTGTTCTCATAAACTTCACTCTCATCATTTGCTCTATCCAAGGAACCAGAGTTATTGACTCTTGCTAGTAGGTTTGCCGTGCCTACAGGTTGCAGCCTCTTATCATCAATCTTACCTAAACTCACCTCTTCTGTCTGGCCTAGCTGTTCATTTTTCAGTCTCTCCTGCGCAATCCAAAAAATGATTAGCATTCCAAAAAAACACTTTAGGAAAGTGATTCAACAGCAATCAGACGGCTGGAAGAGAATCTGAAATGAGACAAGCTTATACCATTAAAGCAGCATTTTCTAGCTTCAGTTCCTCCGAGTTCTCCATTAATTTGTTTATCTCAGATTTGAGTGTCATGTTTTCCGCTGTTAAAGACTGAACTCGTATTGCCAACTCTTCAGCTTCAGCCTGAAGGATCAGAGAAACAAAGAACAATATGAATATCAGAAATGGTAGGCAGCCACGTTGAAACATATGCAATATAAATGTAAATCAACAACCATAGCTTCTATGCACTGTGTGCACACTGCCCTTTTACCTGTTTTCTCAATCTTGATCGCCTTGCAGATTCCCGATTAGACTGTTTCCTTTTCTCCCGCTTCAGCTCACGTTCATCCTAAATATAATTGCATGACAGGAATTAGGTTCAGACGCAAAAAAGATTTCTCACCAAATTCAGTAATTAACTGTATAGACACCCGGAGGTCGCTATGAAATAAAAAAATAAAAATTCACCTGACATATATGCTAATATACCTGTAACCAGGCTTCATTTGGCAGTGCAGGGCTGAGTTGTGAAACATTAGTTGGGTTAGCTTTCAAATGTGTACTAGCAGGATTTCTCATTTCCAAAGTTGTTGTCATGCTAGGAGAAAGTACAGTTCCCATCACTTTCTCCCCTACCTTACCAGGACGAACAGCCACGGTTGTCTTCTCAGAATCATCATTTACTTCCCCAGTAGTTTGACACCGTCCTAAGTGAGTCTTACTATCACCAGCTGTTTAAAATCGAAGAACAGACAGATCAGCAAATGAAATCAAGCATATTACTTTTATGTACTCCAAAAAAGATAACAGTGATTAAAAAATCAAATATCTACAGCAATGAGGAAAAGGAATGTCCATGTATACACCAAAATTCCCCCCAAAACAACCAATGATGCTAACACCAGAATGGGTGAAAGATCTACAAGAAAAAGGTATAGAAGTTTGCTCTAGATGTCTTCCAGACAGTTCTATAAAGGTTAAAAGCTGAATTTATTGTAGCAACAAGCCTTTAAGAAGCCTTTTGCCATTTGCAATGTACCACGACTAGACAAGTACTTTTATTGCATGTCATATACGGCAATTGTCAAAAGCCTAGCATATCAAACACTCAAGTAGGGAACAATCGGAAAATTGGAAATTTTTCAGTCCGAGGCAGAGTTGTTTACACTAGTAATTCTTTTTCTTTTGAAACTGTTAATAAAATCAAAAATTGAGAGAGATCAAACTCTTACAGTTATCAGGAGTTGTCTCACGGCTTCGTTTCTTACTTCTCTCACTGACCTAGAATACAAGAAGAAGAAATCAGTATCCACAGCTTTCATTCGATGCAAATAAATCTACTTAATTGAGATGCATAGATTTATCGTAAGAAAAGAACATACCCCAGCTCCATTTGTGTCACTTCCACCAGTTGAACCTTCAGTGTCCCCACTGGCCACAACATAAAAACTGAAATTTAGTTTAACTTGTTCAAAAAGAAGAATTACAAAATGTTGCCCTTAATGCAGGACCAGAATGGAAAATAACCAGACACTGCGAAAGTTGAGCATTGTCCTGAAATAACTGAACAAGATCTTTAATTTATTAAAATCACAAACCTCTGTGAATTTCCATGGTCCGTTCCACCATCAATGTTGTCAGCACTGCCATTTCCTAGTGACATTGCCAGCAAGCCTCGATCAGAATTCTCTGAAGACTTAGCAGATGCATCCAAACTCAAAGAAACACCATCCTACACAATGTAGAGCGATTTAGTCTATATCAAGTTCCTGGGTCATACAAATACATTGAGCTAATGGTAATAAATCAGACAATGAAGCCATTCTCGAAAAAATTAATTTCATACGTACTGAAAGGCTTTAAAAACTGGCATACATACCATGGCTTGGCTGACAGCAGGAGATGTTGCCATCCCATGACCTGGAGGGTGAGATCCCTGGAACCAAAAAACAAATAACAATCTGTAAGATGGGCAGGTCTATGGTTGTTGCTTAGCCAACACGCTGTTGTTACTCTAACATTATGCAGATATGCAGTCTTGTGCTGAATACATGCATTGTCAAAGCGAGTAATCTCTGTTATAAATGTAATACTTAAAGGAGCCAAACCAAAAAAAGCCCTGTGTTCCCCAAAGACAGGGAACAAATAAAGGTCGATCGAGAACCTCAAGACATGATCCACACCAAGTCATAGAGCTAATATGTGTTAATTTTCAGCTGATTAATTGACCAAACTGAGATCCTGTTGCATTATTGTTTTAAGGAACAAGCAAATACCTTCCATCCCAACAGATGACTATCGTACTTATAACGCAGATATTGGACAAATATTTATTCAATTTCAAGGGTTACTTTCTGAATCAATTAAGCTATGCTGTGTTGAAACTGTTTACTTTGTCCCAACACATTGCTTGCTCTATGGTACCACCAGGTCCTAATCACAAATTCCAGGTCAAAGAACTTCACCCAAAACAATAGAAATCAAGGAGCATTTGTTATATTGATCTAAGAATTAAAATAGAACTCTGGGAATGCAAACTCACAATTGGAACTCCAGGATGTGCATAAACGCCACCATGAGCATATATTGCTGCATATGGTACACCATAAGGTGGTATCATAGGCTGAGAAAGTAAAGGACCAAGGTTAGTCATAAAGCACTTGAAGTCTGACGATCAGATACCAAGCAATTAATATAGTCAAACAACTAAAACAACAAGATTCTGCCTGGAAAATACCTGTGGCCCCCACATATAAGGGTGAGGAGTATGACCAGGTGCAACGGCTGAATTGAAATATGTAGGTACAGCTACTCGAGGACCATAATATGCCTGAAGAGTTAACCAGTTAAGCCCTTACAATTATCGATAAAACATTACGACTCTCTGTATCTCCAACAAAATGAAAAATATTATTGACCTGCATGGCCGCCCAATCAGGATAGACATGGAGATTGCTCTGGTCCTGCCAATGTGAACAAAGAACAACCAGCCAGAGATGAAATTCTAAAAATAGTTCACAATATACAAGGAACAGAAGCGTATAAGCATCATAATATGCTCAAATCTAGGGTTCTTATGGAGCCAAAGACCATATCAAATCACAGGTCAAGAAAGTCAAATGCCGTATAGTTACTCAAACAATAATTTTGTCAAATTTGCTTACCGGAGTAGGCGAAGATGATTTCTCAGGCTTAGAAGGTTTTCCGTCCTCACTGTTTCCCATGTATTAGGAACCAACTAGATCCTGTATCAAATTAGAAGTGCAATCAAAATTTCCTTTTGTAGTCACCGATCACGAGTGTTGTGCCAACTAGCTACAGAAAAGCAAACCCTGCAACGAGAGTGAAATAGAATTCACAACATGAACAAACCGCATAAAATCCATATATTAAAAAAGGATTAAGATATAGAGCATGTAGGCCAGAAAACTGAGAAAGCAAATGATTTTGTGAAGTTTCTCTTATCCATTCCAATTTATCAAAGTAAAAAGGAAATATTAATATATCAAAGAGAACTCAAGTTGGACAACACATACTATTGTGAGAGTTTTCCAAGTTGGACAAAATCGAGTATTTATGTCATGAAACACACATCTGGAAACTGGACTGAACTTATTGCCTGCTGGCATACTAGTGGAGTATATTTTCTCATAGATCATTCTTCACATGTGATCTATCCCATCCCATGGGACTCAACAGAGATGACTTTCTATAATTAACAATGAACATAAAAGAGAAAGCTTAAATAAGCAATAGTACAAGATATCCTATTAAGTTAGCTGACTTCATTTTCATAGGCCTGAATTGATGAGACCATGGTAAATTTATCCTACTGAACCTAAAATCCAACCAAATATTGCAGCACATGTTATCCTATTAAATTAGTCTTACAGGAGAATTAAACACGTTTTACATGGTCTTCCCAATTCTCCCTTTAAATTATTGATTGTCATTTCTCTTGACGCGATACAAAAGACGACTTTCGAGAGTCACTTAGCCCCTTGACCTCTTCTCTCAAAAAAGACGCTGTGCGGGCAAGTCGATCAAAGTCAGAGCGGGGAGGGAATGTTTATTTACAGTTGTTGTAGTACGACTTTTCATTTCCTGTTCGGTCTTTCAATAAGTAGTCAGCTGCGGGCGTAGTCAGACTTAACATTGATTGAAATATGTCCTTTAGACTTTGCTAGAAATGGCCGAACACTAAAAAATAGGTGGAAAACCAGCTTAAGCTGGTTGTACTTTTAAGTTCGTTCAATTCACACAGGCAGGGTGATTGAGGTGCGTGCTTCGCAAGTTTTTTACTTTCTTCACACAACAAAACAAAGGCATGATAGTACTGTACTCAACTGCTCGTGCCGTATGGCTCTTCTACATTCTATAATCTATAATATGTTCATTCATACCAATATACCTGCTAAAAAAAACCAATAAATTTTCAACCCCTCTCACAGTCATCAAACCTGCAACACCAAATTCCTCTCCGCCCTCTGCTTCATCTTTTAACCGACACAACACCATTCACGAATTATCTATATATTGATTTTGTCACATGTACTTAATACATTCAGCACCTTAGAGGATTCTCAAGTTGTTAATGAACATTTGATAGAAAGTCAGTTCCTATATAGCTAATCGATCATTAAAATGCAGAATGTTGGTTACTCAATTGTCAGCGGGTACTTCTAACTCCATCCAAGCATTGACATTTTATGAAGGGTTAATTTGTATACACACGACAGTGTAAAAGTCATTAACTTAAAAATTAACTGCATATATTTGTGTACTCCACACATAGGTTGTAACCTGAAAAACAAGGAAAGGACATGCTATAACATGCTAAACCACACTACTAGATAGTGTGAAAATATATAACTTGAGTCTCTTTTTGATGTAGCAGCTTATATAAGCCTATACTATAGATACATCAGAATGAATAATCTCATTTCCCAATTATTCATCCATTTCATTTTACCAAGTTCAATGTTAACCATTTCAGTCAAAATCCAGTCAATTTTTGTTCCATTTAATCGCTCTCGCATGGCCACATAACTTTCAGCAAAGGAAGGTGAAATATTTATCATGTTTACACATTATCGTGATTTATATCCAAAGTTCACTCTCTTTCCACCAACCTAAGGTATACTTCTAACCTCTCTGGCAACTCTTAGATGGTTGCTTCCATGTTGCGAAAGCCCCACCGGCAGGGGCGGTGAGCCGGTGCTAGAGGAGCGGAAGGGGATTCATTTGAACGTCTATCGCCGGAAAATTACAATGTATATACAAGGTTATTTTTTTTTATGTATATATAGCATATGATGATTCCCCTTGATAAAATCTATGTCTCCACCACTGCCCATAGGAAAGCCAAGCATAACACAAGGGAGGGCTGAAATACCATGTCTCTACCAAATTTTTTGGAACTTGCCCTTTCTACCAATTGTTATGGAAATCTGTGAGATATCATCTCCTACATTTTTTCAGCACATCCTTCCAAAAGTAAAGTCTATTATTTCTTGCCCGTTTCAGAAAACTAATCTTGCATTACCTCCCCTCTCCCCTTCCCCCATCCTCCCCCTCTTCAGCCCCACTCCTCTCTTGAGGGAGCTTCTATGTGAAATACTATCATCGGCTATCACAAAATTAACTTATTTTCTTCGTAAATTAACTTGGTTTCCCAAAAAAAAAAATTTGCTTTCCGGATGCTGATTATGTTATTAAATTCTCATGTGTGTGTGTGTGTGTGTGTGTGTGAGAGAGAGAGAGAGAGAGAGAGAGAGAGAGAGAGAAATGAAAGTGGGTTCCCATGGCAAAGTCCACACACACACCCAGACTCCCCCAGGAGAAAAAAGAAAAGGTAAAAGAGGAAATGTAGGGGCATAGTCGTAACCTCACAGTCCCCAACTAAAACCCAAGTAAAGACGCAAGCATTACGTAACTTTGAATCTACAGGTTAACTTACAATTTTATCCCCGTCAGCCTAAATCACAATCTAGACTATAACCATCAAAACTATAAAAAAACTTAAAAAAATAATTAGCTGAAATTCCAAATAATCATTCGGAATTCAACATTCCCCATAACTACTCTAAATTCAATAACATTCTCTTCAGCTCAAACTCAATTTCTCACAGCTTCAAGTTCAAGCCTGCACACTCTCTGTTCCTCCCGTTGTTCCAGTCACAACTATATCTCAGCTTCAAGTTCAAGCCCAAAATTAAACGAAAATTAACTAGTGGCAAAAGATATGGCACAAGAACATATTTCATGAATATAGCACAGCAAATTCAAGAGAATTTACAGAGATCAAACTCAAATTCAACTCCATAAAAAAAAGGAAGGAAATTTTTTTGGTTACCAAGTCAAATTGAACATACCTCAAACTCAATACACAAAAAGCTTCTGAAGATGCCGGAATTTTGCAGTGAAAAGCTTTAGTGTTTCTGCATTCTTTGTGTAGACTTTCTCTCTCTAAAAAGAACTTAGAAGAAAAGAGGAGAGAATAGAAGAGAAAGGGCGTGTGGCGTGAGCATAGATAGTAGAGAGAGAGAGAGGGAGGAGAAGAAGAAAGAGTGGAGCGCCAAGGCAACATCCACGTCACGAAACACGTGTCCGTACTTTAAGTAAAGCTTGTACTTATACATTATACCCTAGCATGTATATACGGGTAGCCAAGAAAAAAATGTATTACGAGTAGGGATAAAAGGGTTGTGTTACGTGGCTTCTTTAGCAAAATTAGAATTTTTTAATGAAGACTCTCCAAGTAGGCGTATATTATTGATGAAAGAATTACAAGAAAATACACGTGACTTACACCATAACAAAAAATGACCTATATTTCTAATTTTTATCCTACTTAGCCCATATTCTACATATTTTGAAGCATTAGCAAATTCCAAATATGTGTTCTTACAACCATTGCTTCTAAAAGCTATGGAGTTAAATCTGTGTTCTCACATTTTCAGTCTCTCTTCTTCTCACATCTCCTACATATGCTTCAAGGGGCCGTGTATTTTCTGATTCTCTCCCTGTTTGCAATGTCAGAAAATTGAAGAGTAGAAGTCCACCATTGAAGGCCATTCAAAGCTTTGCTTTCGAAAATAGGATTTTGAGTTTGTTAGTTGTTTGGATTGGGTGTTGTTCCAATTGATTGAAAATATCAAAAGGAGTTCAAAATATAAATTTGAAGTGATTTGGAGTAGATTTCAGCACGATTTGAGTTAAATTTCAGAAAAAACGCTAGGTTGAAGACGATAGTCAGTTTTTTGTATAATTATGTATAATCTTGTATAATAGTGTATATGAGTGTATAAATACATCTTATACACTATTATACACTTTTATACACCTTTACACAAGCGTCTGTAGACGAACTTCTTCCACGATTTTCAGTTACAATTCTTATTTAAAACCAGTCCAAATCTCCATTGAATGACTTCAAATTTTATATACAACCTCCTTATACTATTTCTAACAAGTCTAAATAACACTCACTCTAAAGTTCTCACAAAATTAAATTCAAAATTTAAACCCACATATTTAAGCTTGTTAAAAATCTAATATTCACCACCCAAATGGAACTGGTTTGTTGAACTAATATTTGAGTCATGATTACTTATTCAAAAATTAACTTAAAAGTTTGAGCAATCCTTTTTAAAAATTAAATAGTAGTTTCGAGAATCTATTGGAGTTGAATGTTGAGTATTAGCCTATTATTTTTGGGCTAGTTGGTTGTAAATTGAAATATGAGCTATAAAATTGAAAAGTAAGGAGCCCAGTTGTTCTTATGTTAAATTTTTCCTATATTGATTATCACAAATTCACAATTACGCCAAGACTTTTAGTAGGCGTTTGGACATATGAATTGTAAAATTCCAAAAAAGTGGTGAAAATAAATTTCAAGTGAAAATGGAATTTGAAATTTAGATTGACATAAATTTCAGTTTGGGTTATTTTTGAAGTACTGTGAGTGATTTGAGTGAAAATTTTGAAAAACAGCTTTCTGGAGTTTTTCAAATTTTTGAAAATTTTCAAAATGCATTTTCAAGTGAAAATTGGAAATTTTGTGAACAAACGCTGATTTCGAAAAAAAGGAAAAAAAATTATGTCCAAACGGGCTCTTAAACAAGTTAATGTCGGGTCTATGAATTAATTCTAATAATATTTTTCATTTAAATTCATGAAAGATAATTTTAGAGACTTATCTTATGTCTCGTTTCGTAACATTACGTTTTCTTATTGTTTATAGAACTATGTTTAGCTTCTTCATTTTAATTTATTTATAATAATTTTTTAACTTATTCATTAATTCATGTAAAAATTATTGATTTGACTAATTTTTTTGTGTAATTGTTAGAGATTAATTGTTAACTTATTGTTATTATTTGTATAAATCCTTTTCTTTTATTGTCTCTTATTTCTTTTGAAAACTCTTTTCATGCAGTTGCAGATTTAACTTGTTTTGTTCAGTACTAAAAAAATATATGGTAGACAAAAAATAAACAATTGGTCGAAAGATTATTTAAAAGTTGAATTTATGTTTTGATATAAATTTCATTTACGGAAAAAGAGTTGAAAATTTTATGATTAAATTTTTGTATTTCTCTTAAAATACTTTTCAAATAAATTTTTAATTAACTTCAAATATTTCAAATATTGGAGTTCAATTATTGAGTTTTAAATATTATTTCGGCAAAAAAAAATGTTTATTCAGCCTATAGCCACCTGCATTGAACACAAAAAGATATGGCAGAGAAAGGAAGGATCCTTACTAGAGAGATGAGGGATTAGCCAATGTGGTGGAGTGAGCTGGCGCATTGAGAACTGTGTATAAACAATTAATTTAATTCCAACGTAATGTATGCTTAATACGTGTCGGTTATACAGTCGAATTACGCGTCCCTGGCCTGGGATCTTATTGGCCAACTAATACCACCAGTCATGTGGCTGACGTGGTCCTTCTAATCGGCAAATTAATTTAATGGGAGATTTAATGAATTTTATATTACTACAGATGAAAGACTGTGAAGAATAAGATTAACCAGATTGGATAGCTCATTTCAAGTCCGCTATCCCTATAGTCCTACTTGTCAATGTATGCCTAAGGTCTTTTTGGTACCAGATATTTTCCCCTCACCTTTTCATTATCCCTATTTTAAAATGATTCACGCCGTAAAGTCAAAATTGCCCTTCTACTTTTTTTCCACGTCATATCATAAAAAACACAGGTTCGGACCACTTTAGCCTAACAAAATGAAACCCAAAAAAAGAAGAAACATTAATTTTAATATTTGATGATCTCGTAATTTTGTTATTCGAGTAAGTCTTTTTTTTTTTTCATGAACTTTGTGAAAAGTGAGAGAAAAAATAGTTGTGGCAAATTGCATCAGTTAGTTGGGTTATTAGTGACAAATTGTTGGGCTAATAGCCCGTTTGGCCAAGCTGCAAAAATCAGTTTATTTTGAGAAATATTTTTTTTCAAAAGGGCTTTTCTCAAAAGTGAAGCAGTTTGTGTTTGACTAATTAGTTTGAAAAACACTTCTGAGCAGCAATTAGTGTTTGGCCAAGCTTTAAAAAATTGCTTCTAAGTGTATTTTTATCAAAAAAGTGCTTCTCAAAAAAGTGCTTTTGGAAGGAGGCTACTTTTTTCTGCTTCTCCAAAACTGCTTCTGCTTCTCCTCAAAAGCATTTTTTTTCCTTCCAAAAGCTTGGCCAAACACCTCAATTTTTGGCCAAAAATGCTTTTGGCAAAAAAAAAAGGCATTTTTGGCCAAAAAGAAGCTTGGCCAAACAGGCTATAAATAAAGAAATTAGTTGGTCACTTGATTGAGAAAATATGAAATGTAGGTCTGTATTTTGTGCACGGCCATAAAACGACAAATTACTTTTCAAACTTTATAAGGTCTTTTTGCCTTTTAGAATAATGGGATTGTAGACATCGAAATATTAATGGAACGAATTAAATACTAAAGTCAAGATACTACAAGACCTATTGAAATTCCAGGAGTCTGTCAGTATTGCTTAGAGGCTACTCTACCAAAACCCTAGGTCACTCTTATAAAAAGGGTTACATAAGCCTTTAAAAAAAACATCTCAAAAATGGAGATCATCTCGAAAATTCCATAAACTCACGGGATATTCACAAAGAGATCAAGAAGTGGCCGGATAATTCTTGATAATCAAATACTTCAAGAAGATCACATATACGTCATGGATATCAAATAAATTCATGAAAGCCCGCACCATCCTACGTTCAAGAAACACGCTTTTCTAGCCCTCGAATCACGGAGATAATCAGGAGAGAAGAATCAAGGGAATAAACAGAATTGTACCCGCATCATTTTAGCAATAAAATTACGTTTCTTCATATTTATATTGTGGTTGCAATTTATTTTTGTATCACATATAATTTGTTGCAAACGAATTGGCACGCCCAGTGGGACCAATTCTGCCCTTCATCTCTTCTCTCACAATCAAATCTACAAAATTTGAAGCCAGTTGCAATGATGGTCTCACGGAGGGGGCAACATCTCTTGTTCTTTTCAATTGGCTACTCATTAAAGCGGCAGAACCGCAAGATCAAGCACCAAATGGTTCTTTACTAAAGTTGAACGACGGCTAGCGAGACGCATCTCGTCAAAGTTGCAATGCTGCATGAAGAAGAAGCCGAAATCAAGTAATTGCATTGTCCTCAGTGAATTACGCCAACGCCCCGACTTAGCTTGGTGGTTATTACCAAGGATCATAACTTCTTTGTGGTAAACACATGCTGGGGGGCATCCTTTTAGTAGGCGTGTATATCTTGACTTTCTCAAAGAGTCAAATTATTTACCTTGACTCCTAAAAGGATTCAATTTCTATATGTGATATGTTCAAGTTGGTATAGACGTGTGCTGTGGATAGGAGATTTCCAAAGAATCTGATTTGTCATGATATTTTTTCTAAAATATAAAATTGCTTGGTCTTAGAAAGATTCCATTAGAGAGTGGCGCAGATAGCTTTGGAATTTATATTCAAGTACAAATTTAATTCTTGAATACCAAAGTTGGTGCAACGTTGACTCCTTGCAAAAGTTGCTTAATCTATGTTGATGTGTTTGTCTCTCTACAAACAAGTACACATCTGCGAAGGCCATCACACTTCATCCTTAAATTGAAGAAGTTCCAATAAAGCCATCATACCTCATTGATGTGGTTGGTCGTTCACCAACTTGGATAAATGGTTCAATTCAAAATACTCGTTGGAATCCAACGGAGCAGGTGCTAGTATAATAGACTATTGCCGTACTTAATACTTCAATTCTCGTCTTCAAGTTTCGCCAAGGCTACACCCCGACAAACCTTGGAGTAGGGAGCATTTGTAGACATCGAAATCTTAATGGATCGAATTAAATTCTAAAGTCAAGATACTACAAGACCTATTGAAATTCTAGGAGTCTGTCAGTATTGCTTAGAGGCTACTCTACTAAAACCCTAGGCCACTCTTATAAAAAGGGTTACATAAGCCTTTAAAAAAAATATCTAAAAAATGGAGATCATCTCGAAAATCCCATAA